AATTCGTGTTCAAAGTTTAAAAAATGCTCCAAAAAGCAGTGTTTTCACATTTCATTGATTTACTGGAAAACTATAATAGATATAATGAATCCAATATATTTGGAAAGGCGCCAAATGATTAAATATTACTACGTGTTTTAACTAACTTATTCTTATTAACTCCACTTACTTCTTCTTACTACAATAATCCTAAGTATTGAACAACATATATATTTATCAAAATGTAAACGAACTAGTAAATGTTAGAGAAGCACTGGTTCGCACAGTTCATATCCACATCCAATCCTAGATCAATTTCATTTCCTTCTGTAGAAAAAAAAACACGTACCGGGAGTCCCCCTTTTGCCGGTTGCGTAATGATCGAGTGATTGATGTTGCAGGTGTCCGCGCCGAACGGCAGCAGCCCCGATGAGAAGAAGTGCGGAGGCAGGTAAGTTACGAAACCACTTTGCGTAACTCAATGCTGGCGCTGCCACTACATTTTCCCCGATCCGCTTTTCTTTTCGGCCAACACACAATGTAATCTCCCATTGACCTGGTAGCAAGCGGAATACATACACACACATATATCTATATATGTATACATATACACACTCAAATATATATAATATAAGGTAGAAAAAGTAGTATGAGAGGAGAAGGATAGGGCGAGAAAGTCGGCAAACGATTTATGTACATGTATGTGGAAACTGGAGAGAAGTCTAGATAGAAATATTGGGAAATGGAATGATCGTTCATTTCGCAAAAATAATTTTCATTTTCATTACTTTTTTTTTGTTGATACCGTGTGCGTCGCTCCGTTGTAGTTGCTTTTATTTTCATCCCTATGTTTTTTTTTTGGGTAAATGAAACGCAATTTATTTATGCAAATTAAAAATCGATTCGCCACCGGTGGTGACCACGTTATGTAATCAAATCATTCCGTTTCGGCTGCACACGGCGATTTCGCTGTTTGTTCTGCGTTCGGTTTTTCCTCTTATTTCATCTCTTGTTTTTCTTCTTTTATTTTATTATTATTATTTTCTGCCGTTATTGCCGCTTCCCTCGAACGGCGTACGAAAAATTAGAAATTTTCTGCCGCGAATTGCTCAATCGCGAACAATCAAAGTGAAAAGCGTGAAGCCACGGTTTATTGTATCACATCGAAGCGAACTTAATTATGTCGTTAAAAAATTACGCAACGCTCATCGAGACAAGTAAACTCTGTTAATAGCTTCCTTCATCTTTCTCTCTTTCTTTATTAATACTCAGCGATGTTATGGATTTTTATATTATGTAACTTATTTCAAACAAAAAAAAGCAATTCTTCTTTCAATGTCAATTCTTTACATTGCACAGGAGATAAACCGATAATCTTCTCATTCAGGGTGTTTGGAAGCCTTTAAACATGTTAGTCTTTATATCACTTTTATAATAATTTAATACATCATAAATACTCAGCGATATTATGGATTTTCATATTATGTAACTTATTTCAAACAAAAATAAGCAATTTAAACTGTCAATTCTTCCTTTTTCTTGTAAACTATACATGAAGGACATCCTTTACTTTGCACAGGAGATAAACCGATAATCTTCCCATTCAGGGTGTTTGGAAGCCTTTAAACATGTTAGTATTTATATCACTTTTATAATGATTTAATACATCATAGAGTCGAATTCAATATGCAAAGTATAAGAGTTATAGGTATGCGATACTTGACAAGTAATATTTTACAATATTAGCCATTTGCAATAAATGTATTTATTTTTCAGTACTTTTGTATCCTATTGACCAAAGTAATAATAATAACTGATAATAAACATAAATTTTTGTTTATGACCTTGAATTGAATAAATCATGTAGTAGGAACGACAACGTTCCACAAGGTAATTTAACAGATAACTTGTGAAGTACGTGTACTTGGTAACTTATGAAGTAATTGAACTCCAAGTAAAATTAGTTTGTCAAATTTCATACACACGTAACAAATTGCGTTTAGAGATGAACTCGGTTAAAACATTGATTGTCAATTAACGGTTGATTGAAATAAAGAAATAATGAAGACAGGGAAACGAGTGGAACTGGCTGATTTGCTACCAAATAAAAGAGCCTGACATAAACTAGATTTAACGTTTTATCGACAATCTGTCGGGTTTGCGAATCGGCTTATTTGCAACTTAACAGCGGAAATCATTGAATCCTCCTTTTCTGATGCGCGCAACGACATTATCATCATCATCATCGTCGCCAACATCATATCCTATCCCATCCTATTCCATCCAATCCTACAGCATCCCATCCGACTGTATTAATTGCGATCAGCTCCGTTCCAGTTCATAATCGGGGCGACAATCGTTTTACATTACTTCCACTATATCGTCTCGCTTATATTGGTAGGAAATCGGTGCATTGTGAAATTGCTCAATCAACACTCTTTGACGAAATACGAGCGAGGGAATTCCCCCCGGGATGTGTGAGACGCGCGCACGCAGGGATGTCCCCCTAATTACGCAATAATTCAAATTGCAAGTCGGCTGCATGGTTAAGGATCGTTAGCCAACGGATTTATTGCGGCCCGATCCTTCCGTTTTTACCGAAACCATTCTTTTTTCTCTCTCTCTCTCTCCTTTATTATTATTATTTCTGCTTGCCGGACCCGTTTTCCCCCCTGCGCACATTGTTTATGGATGTGCAATGCCACCGATGTTTTGTCAGTTCCTATTATTTTTTGCTTCCTCCCTGTTTGTCCCCTTTTTTTTTTCGCGCTACCGCTGTCGCTGCGACCGGCTTTTCGCCCCCGTGATTTTTATTACGTAAGAGATTGTAGCCGCGTTGGATAATAACACCAGTAGCCCAGACGGGGAGTGATGCTGTGTGAAAGTCGGTTGCGCAACGCACTTTCTCCTCATCTAAGCTGATTATGTTTCCGTGTTTGTTTTGCACCAGTTCGTTTCTCCTCTTGGCATTGAGAATGGTTCCGGGAAATCCAGTGCACACGTCACATCAAAACATTTCAAGTTATTCACTTTACAGTTTATATGAATGAAATGTCAAATCTAGTACATTCTAAACAAAATTAGACAGACATATGATATTGTGTACTTCTTTTTTCGGACATTTTTTTAATTGGAGTTGTTTTATTTTCTTTTGTATCCTGTTTTTTGGCCAATAAATTTAATTATTATTATTATTGTGGTGCTCACTCCAGCCCGCTTATATGACGTCACCTACAAGCCCGTTACGGTGCGCCCCACTCCAACCCACAGCTGGTATTCCAGGAAGGTCTGATAAGGGCTCTACCTGGTTAGGGTATATAAGCGGCAACTCTCTTACTTCCTGTCTTCACTTCCGCTACCCTTGTGTCTTAATAACATGTAAGTTTCTCTGTATTATCTCGTGTGTATTTTCTGTGTTGGCCCTCGAGCCTCGGACTCATTATTATTATAATAAATATTACTACTACGAGCATTTCCAAATTATGTTTGGTATTTTTTTTACAAATTTCTATTGGATTTTTTTTTAAATTTGTATGGATCATCCTTAAAATAGAAACAAATTTAAGAAATTTAACATTATAAAATTGAGTTAATAGTTGATATTAATTAAATGACAATAATTAGTTTAATATTTATAGGAATTGTTTGTGTAAATTTTAATTGTTGTCCTTTTCTTTTTATCCTTTTTTATCGATACCAATAAAAATGAATAGAACATTGCCGACGGTTTTGTAATTATTTATACATTGGTGCCGTTGTCAAAACACACAATTAAATATTGATTGTTTGTTTAATATTGCGCGCTGTTTACACTGGACACGATGTTTGATTTACTGTCTTCCAACACATAAATTTCCAATGGACATAATCGGCTACTCATTATGCATGCAAGGACCGAAGGAGGTCCATGCAAATCCTGCCCCGTTACATGGAAGCCCTTCGGCGTGGCGAGGCTCGGTCGCGAACAAATCACTGCGTCTCGTTGCAATATTGAAGACTTGCATAAGGCCTCCTCCACTTTCTTTCACATCCGACCCATTCATTTTTCAGCGGCGCAAAGAGCTGCCATCAACGTTTCCCTATGAATATATGCATACATTCAGCTTTCTTGTTCTTCTTTCAGCCCATATACCACTTATTCAGTCAACTTAATTATGTTCCTACATGTATAAAGCTACCTATTCAACGACTATAACTCTCCTACCAAACCACTTTACACAGACATTATGCACCAATTACATGCTATAAACGACGTTAAATATCTAAAAAGATTCTTTTAAAACATCTACAATATACTAAATTGCGGACGAGTGACGAATATATCCGTCTTACCCTTTACATAGGAATGACTTTAATTAATTTGCAATTACCTATTATTGAAAATGTCTGTTGAGCAAATAAACTCGTGTTTCCGAAAAAAAATAAAATGTTTAAATTGATGTGAAAATTAAGGCTAAAATTGTAATGAAATTGCACGTAATAAAATTTGAAATAATTGAGTTTGGAAAAAAAAATTCTCAATGCTGTTTTTATCGTAATGATCGAGGCATTGTGTAGATCAGGTGGGGCGTATCGTTGGGTCGAAGAGGAATGGCTTTTCAATGGCGCAGATAGGTTGGGAGTGTTGCAGGTTGCTATCCCGAAGCCCATTATTTTTATTATCCTGCCGCTAAGGTTCACGTTTCTTCGTTGTCTTTCCATATAAAACTCAATAGTGCATCAAGTAGATCCTCGATATTAATTGCGTACTTCGTTGGAGATGCACTCGAAGTATTAAGATATATGATAATTGGCACAATGATTGTAAATCTTTGCTGTTCGCAGGATAGGCAGACGCCTCTCTCAAATCCTGAATCCTGGATTCAGGATTTGATAACGGGCGGAACGTAATTGTTGTTGCACGGAGTTCCAGAGTGGTACAATATGCAAATGGCCATTAATAAGTGTCCAGGACTAATAGATTTAATTTAGGGACAAGATGGGATGATAATGAATTGTGCACTATAAGCTGTGCAGCATTCAATTTAATTTAAGTTAATTCCGGTCGCGCCGGGCGTGGGGGCGGCTTCACCATTGTTCGGCGCACACTGGGGGTAGGCGGCAGATAAAATCTTATTGTGCATCAAACGGGTCGCCAGATAAATTCCACTTGCGCCCCAGTTTTGCGGAATCCTACGAATATAAAAAAAGATATTTAATAATAACGCTCTATATAATAATCATAATGATCTTTTGTTCCAGCATCACTTCGGACAGTTCCCTCAGACTTCCGGTCCTTGTGCTACTGGCTGTCAATCTTCTGCTCGTCCTGGTAGCAGCTATTGTCCTCGTCGGAGTCACAGTTTGGTCCAAAAATGAGAACCTTTGTCTCACGGAACAATGCGTCAACACAGGTAAGAATTGTTTGAAACTATTCATGATTACCGTGACCAATCCCAAAAAATATATTTAATTATATAACGTATTATGTCCGCTGTTTGAATAATAATAAAATTATGTATACAGAGCATGGTTTATGCACTATAAATAAAGAGATGAGATGTAAAAAGAACAACAAAAGGGGCATAATGCATCGTAAATTTGAGCATAGCCTGGACCCGTTAATGGACATTTAAGTGCATAATGTAACATATTTAAATGGGAATTTAAAATGTATACATATAGACCCATGATTCTTACCGTATTCGGAACTTGGCGTTACAGAGTTAATGGGCTCCAAATATATGATGGCGTTAAAGTAATGTTATCAGGAAGATTCCCTTTCCCAGTTTTGTTCTCCCTTCCTGCTTCTTCCCCAGCATTCGGAAGCAATTAAAATGTAAATTTCATTACCGTTCGATGCGAAAGCATAGGTTGCCCCGTGTATTTTATTTAAAATGTTTGTTCTTGTTGTTTCGCGGCCGCCCTACGATGAGAGGGCGGCAGGTTAAATGCCGCCCCTCCTCTTCTACACGCGCTTATACCAACCCCCCATGTCTAAGTGTCGGGGCGGCGTGTTTTTGGGGGCGCTCGTTGTATTGCTAATAGAAAGGCTGCAATAATCTAATGTATAGTTCTGGAATCAGAATGTAATATATCATCGATAAATCATATTAATCATCATCGAATCCAACGTGTAATTAATCTTGTATCTCTCGGCTCGCAGAAGTTATTGACTAAAGTTTCCACGCTGTTTAGGGTTTCGTGGAACGGTTGCGTTTGTTTCAACAGCAATTTGTAAGTGGTGTGAACCATTGATCACACACTCGTTAACTACAGGGTGTTACCCAAATATTTCCTTCCAACATATTTTATAATTACTTTTCAACAATCTTTAATCAAGTATTCATGAAAAATGGACACTTGAAAAAAATGGACAAATTTGGATATTTCCGACTATTTATTTATTATAGTAGTATTGCTGTGGCTTCTTCAATTTGGCTGTAATGAAGTAATGAAAAATTTACACAATTTAGTGTTTTTCTCAGAAACTATAATATCTAGTATGGATACAAAAGATACATATGAAAGCTGGCTATTTGGCGAATAGAATGTAAATACTGCCGTCTACACATGTAGAAGAGAGGATTTCTCTCTTAAAAAAAAGAAAAAAGTATATTTATATTTAAGTTATCTTAATTTTAAAGAAAACTGTAAATATTTACTATAATTAATGTAAGTGTGCAAAGTGAGACAATGAGACAGCTGTACTTGTTGTGTTGTGTTATTTTACTTACAACTCTAGAAGTGTGTTAGGAATACGGAAAGTTTGGGAAACAAGTATAGTTGTAGCATCTAAGTGGAGTAATAATGCATATACTTTCGCGGAGTGCTTCGGTAACGAAATGGGCGCGCGGATTAGAGCGAAATCTTATATAATAATAATAACGGTTGGAAGCTGGGCTCGGATGGCCCATGAACCGAACTGGACAACTATCGTTGAAACTTGTACCATCGTAAACAGTTTTAGCTTAATCCGAGTCGTAGCATCTCCCTAAAGTGCTGATCTGATGCAAATATCGCAACCCATGACCATCCGAAGAACTTAAAGCGAAAATAAAAAGAAAACTACATCTACAAACGTGGTGTAACCAGATGCAGGGCGTAATTTCTAGACAAGTGAACTGCATTTAAATGGACAATGAAACATAGTTTCCCTTGAATCAGTTACCCATAATTGGTTCCCATTGACGCTTTCAGACCCAGCGAACGTACACACATGAACAACGCACGTATGTGTGCAAACACACACACGTATCCACTTATATACACACACACACATACACATACACAAATGCACCCGGGCGTTCGCCCGTCCCATTATATCCCAGGAACAAAGCCCAACATGAACCTGTTAATTCCGGTTTAGAATTTAATAAACGTACCATGCGAGAACGCAGAATTATCGCCGCCCAAATAATAAATATAAACAGAGAAATTCCTCAGAACGAATGTCTCTGACAACGTTAATTCATGCATTTAATAGAAACTTGGAAACTTTACGTAAACTCGCAGACGACACCGTTCACCATTCATACATTCATATACACATACACGACTACATACATACATACATACACAACTTACTTTCTTAATGCGCCAAAGGAAATTAATCTAAATAATTTTGATATTTGCTCCACCTGACAAATTCAATTCATTTGTTTCGCGCCCTTCTATATAAATATCTCACTCATAACGTTGCGACTTCGAAGCAGAACACGCGTAAATTTACTCTAATTTTGATAATGTGCCCTTTCGCACACACCTACGTATCCGTAGATAAATTCAGGGGACTTCTTTTATCCGCGTACCTAAGGGTGGGTTAAGGGAACGATCTAAATGCAAATTTCCATCGTAGACTGTTGCAAAAACAAAGGGCCTTGCTATACATATTCTTCTTCTTTTTGCCCTTCCGATGTTTTTTTTTTGGTTGGCTCCGCCGGTATCGAGCCTACGTGTGTCTGAATTTTCACGACATCGCGATAACTAAGTAATACTCGCACCGTGAGATAATCTGTCCTCAAAAAAACGACCCTACAACGTGGAAATACTAAACACCCTTCATTTGCAATATCCAGATTTGTTTTGCAATATCCAGCTTCAAACACGTTCTTGCTATATCCATGTGGACAATATCTTAATAATCCGAAACTTTAGTCGAGGACAATTGGACAAATTTATATTTACATTTATTACATCAATAAAATTTTAAAAAAATACATTTTCAGAACCTAACTAATCACATGAATTATGTAAGTCTGAAGTAGACTTTTTATTTTTTTCCCCATATATCCTAAGATATAATATTTTTTTAAATTTAATTTTTTAAAAAAATCATGCATTTAAGGGTTAAGTATAAGTTTTTAGTTGAAAATGTTCAAATGAAAATCCCACAGTTCGTTTGTGTTTTGTACTATAACAAACCCACAGTTAGTAAACAAAACTTGCGATTTGAAAAATAAAAAATAAACTGAAAGAACAAACAACGCGCAGACAAACACAGACAATGTGTAATGATATATACGACAAGCAAACATCATTTTGGAAAAATGCCATTTTGCGAAATATAGCTTCGGCGCGAGCTGGAGAAAAAAAAAAGTGGGCAAAGCGCGAAAAGGGAGAGGAAAAAAGTAAAAGCCCAAAGGCATAAATTCCGCCGTTCCCCCCGAAAAAAATAAAATGTGTTACTCCTTTTTCTTCCTGATTGCAATAATTTAGTTAAAAAAAAAACTGCGAGCTGCGAACCTAAAAAAAAATATATTAAAACAACGGAAAGACATTCATCACAACCAAGGGTGCAATATTATTTTATGAAAATAAATGCAAATCAGGCGCTAAAATGAAAAACAATAAAACATTTCTTTTAAGTATACGAGGTTGTACATTATCGCAGCAGACGTTCCTTTTGTATCCTTATTGTTCCCGTCTTCCGTATTTCTATTTAATTGTTTGTTTGTTTTATTTTGGTTTGTTCTACATTTTATTTTATTTTCTTCGGATTTAGCGTCGCGGGTATTACGAGCAATGGACCGGTCAGCTGATCCGTGCAAGGATTTCTACCAGTACGCCTGCGGTGGATGGATGAAGGCAAATCCAGTGCCAGATTGGACGGCCACATGGGACCGGCTTGCTCTCCTGCGGGAATCCTTGTTGCAGGACATGCGGCAATTACTCGAATCCGGTAGCGGGGATGGCGGCAAGGAGCCGTCCGGGATCCGCAAAGCCCGGGTCCTTTACAGGACCTGCATGGACACAGGTAAGCGAAGATCCTTGGACTAATTTACTCCTTGTCTGATATCATACCCTTCACTCTAATTACTTACTATTCTACCTTAATTATCAAACAATATATTTTCATATTGCATGAACTTATTTTATTAACAATTTATGGTTCATCAACACGACATACAATTTCATATATTCATATAGACATTGCATTAAAGTACATACATCACCTATCTCATCAAAGGTTATTCACCAAGATCAAATTTACTTAATATTCTAATAGTAATAATATGAGTTATTTTTAATACATTCAATATTTTATTTTAAGATAAATTTGAAATTTCTTTCATTAGAAATATTGATTTATTATTAGACTATTGGTTGCAGTTATTAATATATGTTGTTTAAAGTTGATTTGTTGCGAATTTTGTTACAAAGTTTGCTTGGACAAAGCTAATATGTGTTTGTCCAAAATTTTGTGTAAACATGTAATGAACTATTTCGAGCATTGACACAAGATAAATATAACAGAATGCAGGACAAAACTGAAACCTACATAAATCATCTATCCATAAAAAGCTGTCTGCGCGTTTTAATATAAGCAGACAGATGAAGAATTCCAAAAAAAAAATAGGAACGAGACGAAATGGAAGAAAGGAAATAAAAAAAAGTCCGAAGAGAGATATGTACTCTCATATGTACATATCCGGGGATCGGAGGAGGCCGAGATTAAATTTCAGCTTTCGGTGCTGGTCCTGTCGGAATGGCCACAATAAAAGCGACAGGTGAAATATTAAAAGTGATTATTAAATGAAACCGAGCGATATTTTATTAAATTTTGAAAAGTTCTGCTGTGGACGGCGTGTGTGTATGTGTTGCTTACTGCTGGAGGAACGTCGGATTCGGCCCCCCCGTCAGGACTTCAATTAATTATCGACTAGTGTGTCCCGTAAGGGTTGGACGGGTCCCTGAACCGTCGACGTGTTTCCTTTCACCAAACATTTTTCCCGCGGCGAATTTCTCATATTTTCCTAGAGGTATCAATTTTATTCCTGCTGTAGAACATCGGGTGCTTTCCTTTCCATCTATCCAAGTAGAGTCATCAATCTTAGCCACCGCAATAATATACTTTAAATAGATCGCCTTCAGGACGGATTGTTTCTCATATATAGATATATACTAGAACTGTATTCGGGCTATGACTATGACATCCTAGGCGCAGGATTAACAGGCCTATCCAGCCGCAGATATTTCATCGAGTTACATTTCCGACGCTATTCTCTATTGCGAACATCCATCATCGCAAAACACTATTTACTTATATGCTGCGAACGGTGGGAAAGAAAAATAAATGGAAATCAATTATTTTCATACTAATTGTGGATAGAGACATGTTTCCTGCATCCACTGGAGATCGTTGACTTCTCTCTTTCACCGATCATCAGCCTCGTTTTTGGTGCCTTATGCGGATATTACGCAACGCACGGATAAAACGCACGCTGCTCGATTTCGAATCCAATAATGGATAATCCAGTTTAATTGTCTCTAGGAAACGCAGATTGACCCACATTTCAATTAAACCCGTATGCATACCTATTACAACATTAGTCTGATAAACGCACGTACTATGGGAATGCTTCCTCATAATACACAACTTCATATCCAAACGAAATTGATATGTTAAAACTAATAGAAAAGTGTAATAAGTTTTTCTTGATAAATTTAATAAATATATATAAAAAAAGGGTTAAAGACCTATGGTCAATTATTATTATTATTAATTACAAAATGTGTTTAAAACTTGAAGCAATATAATTTTAGCTTTGTCTGGAGTTAAATTGCGGAAGAGGAGAAATTGTTTTATTTTGAAACATGTCTAGATTTTATTACAACATAGTTTTAGGATATTGAGGAAACCAGTAAATGCAATAGATTACAAACTGCAATCCAGTAAGTAAACATAAAATATAGCGCGAAGTGTGTGTGAAACGATCAATAATAATAATCATAAAGCATTTTATTGTTATTATTTTTTTTAATGGCCACCCCCAGGTCGCTGTAACGGTTACAATTCATGCGAGCATGTTGCTGATTTTAATGACAGTTTCAGCTTACACTTCACAACGAATTATGGTAACTGAAAGGGGGATGGGGTGGGTTTTTGGAGGTTGCTGTTGGTTTTGTTTGGTTCGGTGGGGCGTTTGCACTTCTGAATTTAGGGCACACCTGGAATTAAAAAAAATATATATATATATGCGGAAAACGGACGGGCCGGAACTACGTGCTGTGATATGCCATATGCCATATAACATATACCATACACCACATGCCATATGCCATATTCGTCTAATGTAACGACTGGAGCAGATTCTTTTCCTGTCAACGTGCCGACTGCCAGTTATTCGTCTCGGCAGTCGCGTCACGTGGACCATCGAAATATTCTAAAGCCGCTCGTGCATTTCTATTCCCATCAATCATCGTAACAGATCCAGCCATTTGTCACGGGATCCCGCTTGTCGCAAATACGAGCTACTATCTTATTGTTAATCAAATACTAACGTCCTCCCTCCACCCCAATCCTAGTCCCAATTAATCCGAGATTACGCCCAAAGAACACGAAACAATCGGATATCCGCGCTATTAAGTGCCTTCTCCTACTCCTACTCCTCCTCCTTATCCTCATCCTCCGCCACCTCCTACTCCTTCCACCGATCGAGGACCAAGGCAACAAGTAAAGATGAAATTAGTAAGGCCCGTGTTCCATTCAGAAACTACGCGACAATGTGCCATACTGAAATGAAATATTGATTGCCCAGGGGCACGTTCATCTGCAATTCAATAATTCCGGATTATCCAGGAAAAGGATGGATCCCTCACGCCATCCAGAATTATGTATGACTGTCATACACGACATCTTCCTCGAGGAGTCCATTAACTGGTCCCCTGCACAAACGATTTATCCCTCTCTCTCTCGCTGTCTTTAATCCATTTTCAGTCAGATTTTGAATTCCGGATTCGCTGCAACCACCATCTCGCGACACTCGACCGGAACTTCCGCTTTTCAAAACACAGTCATTACGAAATTTTCGTACCGCGTAACTAATGGAATTGCTATCCTGGATGCACGTTGCATCAATCATTCACCGTCGCTACTTACGTGCCTTTTTAAATATTTAAACCAGCTTATTTTCCACGTTGATTTATTCATACTGCGTGCATATTTTATCGTTTCCTTGTCACTGCAATAACTACAAAAATATATTGATGTTTGATGAAATGCATTGTCCCAAATCTATTTTATTATTTACCTTTTAATTGCAAAACAAAGCACATATGTGTTTATTATTATTAATTATAATTACACATGTCAATTAATTTTACACTATACATTTTTAATTTTAATTGAATTGTTTTAAACTTATCAATAATTACAAAATACAAAGAATCATTACATATAATCATCTCACACCGCCAATTACCTTTACATTCGAAAATTTATTAATAATTTCACAGTTATTAATAATTACAAGTACAACGAATATTTACATATAATCAACATAAAACATGTAAATTAGCACTACAGCAATTATAAAATAAAATACGCTTAATTGGGACATAATATACTGTCGTATATACAAAATATACAAATATACAAAATGATCTAAATTATTTTTTATATTGTAGCTTATATTTATGTAAGTAAGTAAATTTTTCTTCCTATAATTATGAATGATTTATTAAATGTTTGAATGGAATTGGTAAATAATAAAAAGTGAGAATTTAATGTAAAAGTTCACAAACTTCTGCTTAAATAAATATATGCTTTCTGAAACAATAATAATATTTATGATGAAATAATATCGTAACATATGATTTGAACTACAGAAATGTAAATATTCATAAATAACGTACAATGTATGTAAATGTATGTAAACACAGGAAAGCTATTCAAACAATTGAAAGACAAAACGTAAAGCAGCCGAATCAATAATAATACAGTTATAGATTTCAATGCATTATTTCATTAAGTCCATATTTTATGCACTTGGTAATAATGTTTGTTAGTACTTAAAGGAATGAAAATCGTGGAATGGTTATAAAACGATTTGAAAGGCGGCAAAGGAAAAATGGATTCGAAACGCGAATCGAATGGATTTATTAATGCCTTTGTTTGGTTGGGAAGGTGGATTGTGGATAAAGTGTGGAAATGACTATTTTTGCGTGGAAGCCTTCCACAGACCTAGATATAATAACAGTAGGTGGAAAAACCATTACAAAACCTCATACAGTATTCGTTCATAAAACATTTATCGAAATATGAAGGCACGATTAAAAAGCTGCAATTGAAATCGTTCTGTGCAGACTAAAGCCGTATCAATAATAGAACAGTTTATTATCGACGCCCGGTGATGACTATTTATGTATTTTAAAAAAACCCGCGATTGGAAAAAAAATAATATGTATATAGTGCATGTATCAGGAGGAATAAATAAAGCATGGAAAGCTTTATAGCAAAAAGCTCCCTTTGAATTTATACTAGCTCTCTGTTTATTTTTTTATTTCGTTTCATTTGCTGTCTTTCCGTAACGCAAAACATAATAGTAATGGGTAAATATTTGAAAATATGGTGGAAAACTTTTAGTTTCAAAAATTGGCTACTTTCCAAATGAGAATTTATATATTTTTAAACCAAATGTATTTACTTCATCCAACAAGAATAATTTAATATATAATCAAATTCTTGATAAAAATCAACCATGTTTTAATTATATCTTAAGTGAAGATTCAAGGTAACAGAAATAGTTGTTATATTTACATCATTGGTAAAGCCTATCTTAATCTACAGAAATTTATGGTTCAAGGACACATTTGCTTGTGAATTTGTATCATGTGTAAAACTTCTTTCTTTATTTGTAATTCCAGGACTATTATCCTTATGAATTTGCTAATTATATTGTTATATGTTTTTGTGGTTGCAAACAGTCATTTATAGTGTGTTATTTCCATTAATTGTTACTATGTTTTGTTGAATGAAAACCAGATGCTTTGGAGTCAAAAGGGTTGGAACCCATTAAGGATATATTGAAGATTGTCGGTTTAACTTCGAGCCCTCCGAATGCGACCGCGGCCAGCGGTTTCGATTGGCTTTTCACCGTGGCTCGCGCCAGAAGGGTGCTAGGACTGAACGTCCTTTATGGACTCAACGTTGCGGAGGACGTAAGGAACTCGTCCTTGCATAAGATCGTGGTACGTAGCGGTGGTGCGTAAGATCCTCTGATCTATTTGGTAACCATTACAGATCGAGCAAGTGTCTCCCGGCTTTGGAGAAAGGTATCTCCTCCAACCATCAAGATTCCGTCAAGAAATCAAAAACTACAAGAACCACGTTGCTAGTATGATGAACGCTTACACTAACTCCACAGATGGACATGCATTTGCAGAAGAGATAGTTGCATTTGGAACGGAGATAGCTAAGGTATAAAAATAAATAAATCACGGAGGTCCATTTGCAATGGTTCTTGTTGTGTTTTCGTTTGTCGTTTTTTTATGGTGTGTTCATTGCTTTCATCCTCCCATGGATAATATGCATGACCGTGGCGACAGGACAACTACACGCATTCTATAAATCACCGGGCAACATGTATGTAAAAGTGGGCGGATGGCTACTAGTAAATCAGGGTTGTGTTTAGGTCATGACCCCGGCGGAAAAGCGTCGCAGCACCGGGCACCTGTTCCACGAAGTCACGCTGGAAGAGCTCTCTCGAGGTCCTGGCCAGGATAATATATCTTGGAAAAGTGTAAGTCAGCTGAATTGATGGCTTTACTATTGAATATTTACTCTTACAATCCTTAGGTTAACTGGACCAGATACATGAGCATAGTTTTCAACGAGACCAACGTTTCATTGAACTCCAGCAAGGATAAAGCCATACTACTAGATCTAGGCTACATGCAGAAATTAACTACACTATTACTACGAACTGATCCTTATATTATTGGTGAGTATAATAAGTATTAATATTGTAGATATCTTAAATTATATTATAAACTAATAAAGAAAATATTTGGATTATATGTGAAATTTGTAAGTTATATATGTTTTCAGAAAGATTCATCTGGTGGAATGTTTTTTCAACTGTGGCTCCATTAACGCTTGCAAAATTTCGTTCCCTGGGATTTGAGTTCTCGCAGAAACTGTTGGGTCTACAGGCGCGCACTCCCAGGTGGAAGGGTTGCACCGGCAACGTCAACTCGAACTTCGGCTTAGCCCTGAGCTATCTGTACGTGCAATCGCAGTTCCGGAAGGGCTACAGGGACAAGGTAAGCGGGCAGGAAGAAGTCGAAATCGATACTAGGTCTCTCCGTAAACAGCATCATAGGCCAAGCGGGTATTAAATTATTTATGCAAGGTGTGCGAACGGAGGGCCGTAAGATGAGTGAGATCGGAGGGAGAAAGAGTGAAGTTTCCTCTGGCGAGGTACATTGAAAGTCTCGGGAGCTTTGCGATTATAGTTTTAATGAACTGAGCTCGAACTAATTTAATTAGTTGCAAGAGCATTAAGAATGTAACGTGATATCTTTATATATACACACATACAAATACAGAGGTGTATATATATATACATATATTTTGTATACCTACACTTAAACACCTTGCGCTATTTCAATTAAAACAGGCTCTGGTGATGTTGGACGATATTCGAGCGGCTTTCGAGGATGCTGTGCACGAGCAGGATTGGATGGATGACATCACCCGGGAAAGGACTTTGACCAAATTGCATGCAATCAGGGCCTTTGTCGGATATCCCGGTTGGATTATGAATGCCACCCAGCTCGATATTCATTACAAGAAAGTATGAATTCGGTGTATTTATTGGTTTCGTTACGTCCGCAAACGCTAAAAGCCGTTCATTGTTTCAGGCCAACGTAATCGAAGGGGAACTCTTCAAAACTTATCTTAATTTAACAAGCTCTGCAGTGCGACGGAATCTAGAGAGCATCAGGAGGAGACCCAACAGAAATCGGTATAAACTTTATTATTGTTTCCCCCCCTTTTAACAATCTTACATTTTACTTCCTCATCCTCATTACATAAAATGTATAGCTTTTCAGATAGTTTAGAATATACACTCATAAAAACCATCCTTAAACTTAACATTAATAACTTTATTCATCACTAATTACAATTTGACTATTAATTTGTATTGTCTACCCTTTACAATTTGGTTAATCTAAAAGTTTACTTCAAATCCTCATCAAAACATAACTTTAACTCTTGGTTTCCTATTAAATAAAATTAACAGCTTTTCAAATAGATTTGAATATAAACTTATAGAAATTTCTTAATTGTCTTTCAACAATTATCAATCCAAAATCATCTCCAAACTTATAACTTTGATTTGTGTTATAATTTTACATTGATTTAAATTTAGCTTGTTACGCACCTATAATAATAATTTAATTAAATATGAATATCAAATAGGAATGGAAAACAAAAGGATTATACTAATTAGCTGTTTATATCAATATTAATAATTACATAATTAAGCTATAAAGCATTATTTATGTGACTAAATATGCGTTGATTGAGTACTATTTTTGTTTGTCTACTGCGAACTATGGGATTAGGAGCGCATTGTACAGTTTCCCCGTTGCATAATTAATGTTCTAAATATTGTAATGCGATTTTGCGATAATTTTGCAGCGAGAACGTATCGCGACGGCGATTTATGTCCGTATGGTCATAATGCACAAATCGATCGAAGCGAATATGTTTATGCAAATTATTTTTCTCGCCCCTTCGGCCTTCTTTCTTTTCTTCACTTATACCTAACTTCCAAATCTTATACCTGATAGATGCAAACGCAATATTTCTCTAAACATAGCATCGATCCTAACCAAACTTACAAACTTTCCATAGTTTCATACAAACAATAAAGTTCAATTTTATTATATAGTTTCAATTCAGTTAGATTTATTTCAACAATACACAAATTTTTATATTTTATAAGTAAACATTTATTTCTTCATTTCACAAATAAGTAAAATAATGTAGAAATTAGAATAATGAATGAAAACGTTGTGTATTTGGAGAGAGAATATATTGTTCGACCCGGCACATCCACCAATCGTTTGGTGTTAATTAGATGAACTCCTAATTAATGGCTTCTGGACCGGTAACACCACCAGATTAAATGCAATACCGTAGCCATATCCTTTCCGAACCATAATTGTTATTGTTGTTACAGATGGGTGGCGGCTGCAACAACCGTGAACGCTTTTTACTCGGCCACTCTGAATTCCGTCAGTAAGTTCCCATATTTTTTTTTATTATATAACTGTAAACTTAAAAATAAAAATATTTGTAGCATTTCCTGCCGGCATCCTGAAGCCTCCATTTTATAGCAACGGCATCGAGTAAGTCTGTATGCACGGAACAGTATTTTTTTTTTGCCCTTTGACTTGTTTCATTTATTTTTTTCTTTACTACTCCTTGGGTTTTATTGCAGGGCCATAGATTACGGTGCAATCGGAGCCATTATGGGCCACGAGATCACACACGGCTTCGACGATCAAGGTAATAAATAATTGTGCCTAGAGGATGAAGAGATCCTCGAGTTTGAAGCGAGATGAGGATAGAGTGTATGTGAGAGAGAGAGAGAGGGACAGAAGCTTAATTGAATTGTGTTAAATTTAGGGAGACGCTATGATGAGAATGGAAATCTTAAACAATGGTGGTCTTTGTCAACGCTGGATCATTATCATAGTCGAGTACAATGTATCATCGATCAATACAATAATTACACAATGCCAGGACTGGGAGCTTCGTTTAACGTCGGTATCCATTCTTTGCAACCATTGTGCAATCGCATTACGTCGTTTCGTTTTAGGTGCAAGGGTTTAACACGCAGGGGGAGAACATCGCAGATAACGGAGGATTAAGAGCTGCCTTCGAGGGGTATCGGCGACGACAGGACAGGTCCGAAGGAGGATCAATGCGTCAGCGGCTTCCAGGACTATCCGATATTACGACTGACCAGCTGTTCTTCCTGGGATTCGCACAGGTCTGTACCTCACTTCAACTTAACTTAGTAACTTGCAACGTGTAACCGCTACGTTCCGATTGAATTAACAAATAATACCGTAACTTAGCCCCCTCTACCTCTATCCTACTCTCTCTAACATACACATACATACGATCAGTGGTTCACATTTAGCTACACTGCGATTCTCTCCTCTTGGGTAACGTTTAATTTCATTCGCCACTGAAACTTTCTAGTAAATATCTCCGTGAACTTAATTCAATATAACATTTCGCTTCACACGTATTCCGTGCAAACTACGTTTTGGCACCCAACGCTAATGGTGCGGGCTAAACAATATACACACATACAGAGAAACCAACACCCATCACCTACTACGGATTTCTGCCTTCCACCCTCACTCACTCACTCACTTTTCATTTCATTTTCTCCCTTTTCTTTTATTTCTATTTACCCTCATTTAAATCGCTTTAATTGCGCCACTTTAACATGCAAATCACTCAGAACATATACTCCACGCAACTCCACCGACGGCGAGCAATTAAAACGTGCGCAATATTTGAGCTGTGTTTCCAACTTGTGTACAATAATAACTATAGCACTAATCTCGCTAAATGAATGTCAATGCTAGCGTCTCACACACACACATATATATATACATATATGCTGGCACACTCACATATCCTGAAATTAATTTACAAACTTTCTCCGGCGGAGGCGAATCGTATAACCTAACCACTAATTGAAACTACTGTTCCGAACAAATTAAACTACTCGAGGTTTTTCCCCGTGCGCAAGGAAGAACAAAAAACAAAATTGGAAGCACGCATGTACACTCTCAACTCTCGACCACTGATGTTTTTACCTTTTTTTCTTAAATAATTCTCTGAATTCCACCAAAATTTACTTTACATTTTCAACAATACTCGAAACTTTATAATCAATATTATTTTATAGTGATGTAACGTTTATTATGTACCAAAAAAAAAACAAATACTTACATTATTTAGTATTAATAGAAATAATTCGTTTATAAGAGCTGCTTGAAAACCGAAACTATTTACTAATATGAAATTACTTGAAAACCCATAAAGATATTTTCAATTTATTTCACTTTTTTCCAATTTTTACAGCTCGTAGAATAGGTGAGACATTCAGCTTTCATCTGAGTGGTCTAAGATGTACTTATCTTAAAAGGTTAACGAGAAATTCGGGAAAAACGTCGAATCTCAGTTACGTAACGAACATTACGTAACTTACGCAGTCATTAAATCCTAACCTAAAGCTAACCTAACCTAAAGCTAACCTAACCTAAAGCTAACCTAACTTAAAGCTAACTTAACCTAACCTAAAGCTAACCTAACCGTAACGAAACCACATTGGTCATAGGACACACATCTATGGCAACTTGAGCAAATTGCTCAGACATATCCACCCTCGACTGTTCTGCTGCTATGCACAATCCTCTCCCCGCAATATGGCGGTATGCGTCGTCTACACGCACTGATTATACCAAGATAACAAAACGATTTTTATCCTTTTTGTGCCATGCCACGCGACAACACGCCACACGAATAAGAACCAAAAAAGTAATTTATATAACATAAAAAAATAGAAAGAAATCAACGAAAACTTAGAAGATTACAAACTGCAAACACATGTATACGTTTTCATTATATAAATTATATTAACATTACATGAAATTTCAATTATTTAAACAAAATATTATATAAATATTAAAATTTATAAAGTTACAATTTTCTATGTTTTATAAATATTTAAGTTATATAGATATTTCGTTATTATTATTATTATTTTTTTTTCAATGCAGTTGGAAAGTAATCTTGGCGATGGTATTGATTTCGTTGTTCCTTTTAACGGTGTCGTGCGTTCTGCACGTTCCGTTCGTTACGAGCGAGACGAATAGCATTCAACTCGAGTGATTGATCATTTCAAGTTGATTATCCGAACGTTTTTAGTATTCATAAACATCCAATAAATCGGAAAGTGCAAATGCTATCGGTCCGCAAATCGTTTCGAAATCCAAACGGCTCGATAATGTTATGTAAACCCTACGCATCCACAACAAAATGTGAAATTTACACTGCATTCAATAATTTGTTCAATTTAAAAAAAAATAGATGGAACATATTCATACTTAAGAAATGTAAAAATTAGACAGTGATCTATTCTAGGAAATCGGTTGCTTTGATTGGACCTATTGATATATTATTGATATGTATTGCTTTAAAAAATCATGACCATTCTTGGAATTTTTACTACTTTTACACTTCATAACATATTTTATTTATTGGCCCAAACTGGGCAACTTTCAAATGATCAAAATAAACAAAACTAAATAAAATTTAATTTAAACCTGGCGCATCCACATTGCATTTATTTATATAATTAATCATGTTTAGAAATGAGAGACTCATGCAAATAGTAGTATTATTAAGGGTAGTAAATGAAAGGTGTTAAGGGGTGGAAAAAGGTATATGAGATTCGGTTAATTGTGCAAATAAGGAAATGCGGGTTTATATTCCAAACCCGGCGCATCCACCTCAATGGAATTAAACAGTTTAGGTGGTAGAAACTAATACAAATAATTCTATTTGGGTATGATAAAGTGAAAAGGTGTTTAGGGTTTTGAAGATCAATTTAATTGTGCAAATAACAAAATGCGGGTTTCTTTCTTCAATATGTTTCAGATTTGGTGTGGAAATTCGACGGTTGGAGCGCTTAAAAGCAAACTCGTGGACGGGGTGCATTCCCCAAACAGGATCCGGGTGGTCGGCACACTTTCCAATTCCAAAGAGTTCGCTGATGCCTGGGGGTGTCCGGCCGGAACACCCATGAACCCTCCGGATAAATGCGTGCTCTGGTAGAAAAAACCACAAACAACAATACAGAGAAGAAAAGGAATATAGAAAACAAAACAAAAATACGCAGAAATTGCGTTTAGCACAAGTACAAAAAAAAATCGCAACAAACATAAAAATAAATAAAATTATATAATAATTCCATTCACTAATTATGCAGATGCAAACATATAACTATAATCCACATACCGCGGCATATATTCATTTGCATAATTCACATCACTAATTATTTCATTAATGCACTAATTTATTAAATCGTTTTCATCCCCTCTAGGGACTCTTTATAATAATCTCATTTTTGTTATTGTTTATTTGTTTGTTTTATTTTTTATAAATATTGTTTTCAATTTTCACGCGCACCCGCACCCCCGTTTCTCTTTTAATCATGTGTATCATTATTAAGTATTTTTTTCTTTCATTGTGATACTGTATTAAACGAATTTGAAAAAAAAAATTAATGATAATGATAAGCGTATCCTACGAAAACAATAAATGTTTTATATTTTTATTTCCTTTTGTTTTATTTCATCCCTCGCTGAAATGTATACAGTTTCGCTTCTCTAATACATTTTTTTTTTCTTTTCGAATATGTTGTTTATACGTCGGAGGTAATAAATCAAATTGTACAGTTTATGAATAGATAATTCGCGTGAAAAGGGGGTGGCACGGCAGGGGGTGTGTGTAGGGGTAGATGTCGTCGTGGGCTTATTTAATTAATGAATGCCATCGATTAGGCTGTGCAAATTGCAAGCGATTTGCGCAAATCGAGGCTACCGCTGAGGCGCTCCCATTTTTGACAGCGGAAATTGAAGCCAGAGACATACACAGACTTTTACATATTCATAATGCTGTTACGTCCAGCATCTCTAATTCGGTATTAAGCGATTCTCCAATCCAAGCACGTAAACGTTTTGCGAAAACCTCTGTAGAAATTTAATCAATATGTAATAATATTTTCTATTATATTTTTTTTATATAATATTTCAGAAAATTTTTATCCAATTTATTAAATTTTTTTTTAAATTATGAATTTTCATATATCTACCTAAATTTTGTATTATTATCACGTATACTAAATGTCTTAAGAGACTCCACAACGACAACAGAAGAAGATATCCCACAGTGTCCAGAAAACCATCCCTGGGACACGACAATGCTTTAGATTCAAACATTTTTGAGAAATTTAATATATAAGTATTGAACTTAAAGTGTATTTTCATGTCATATTTATGGATTCTGATGCTTTTATATTGGGGTGAAATCGCAGAAACCCTTTTTGACTAACCGCAGACATAGTTTACATAATCGCGCGCGCATTGCTTCTTTGTAAGGTGAATCTCCTGGAATCGCACATAAAAGGGAGGGTGCGCCTAAGGAGGCCTCGTTATAAATTACCAAGACATTTCATCTTCGCCTCCGCCACCTCCCGCCGTCTCCTTCATCTACTCATTATTATTTCTTTGCTCTGATTTAAACTTTGCACAGCTCCGCATAATTCCTAATAAAACTTAGAGAATTGCCCTAATTATCAGATTATTTATATTAGAAACACCAAGAACAAGAAAACATATTCAATTCAAATTATACAAATTAATTTTAATAGTATAAAATGAAAAAAATTATATCGGACAAAATCAATAACTGAAAAACAATAGTTTATATATTGAATAATTAAGAAAAAGTGTATTTTTAATTAGATTTCAGATTGAAATTTTATTTTTCATTCATCTTCAATAGAAAATAATATTTTTATATTCTTAAGTAAATTTTTCAAATAATTCTAACTTTCAAATAAATTTTGTAAATATATTATATATATTATTGAAAGATGTAATATGAATAATACTTTATGTAATATGTTTAAGTTATTATGAAATTTTATAATTATTTCTTGAAAGACGCAATATAAAAAGAATATACTTTATGTAATAAAATCTGTTTGTTTGCAGTAATTATATTTAAGGCTTTCGGCCTCGGGAAGTAATGAAATTTTCAGTCTTGAAGAAAAGTTATGCGATTAAGGATTTTCCTTTTTTTTTAATATTAGCTACATTGTAAGTATTAAGTCAACGGCATTTGCATATTGTTCCCGCTCCTCAAGACAATTAAGCCGAATCAACGCGTTTAAGAATAAACTAAGGGAAACTGGAGTGGCACCCTTTCGGCAACGTGGAAGGGAGAAGCGAGTTATCGCAGAGGCCGCAATAAATAATAAAACTAATTAACAGCGGACGCGATACGATTTAAGAACAATCAGTGTTTTCCTCTCTAAAACCGTAACAAGAAGACGCTTTTCAATGATTCCCCTTTGTTCGATAACCAAAAACAAAGAGCATAGCTTGGTATCTTTGTAGAAAGATTAAAACTGTATATTATATATAAGGTAATGGGAGCAGGCAGTGTATCCAGCAGGAGCGTGCCGTTGTTATAGCAGGAAAATCAATGCAGCAGCAGCATTCGCGTATTTTATTGTAACTTTATTTATGTCGTCGTTAGCGGAGGGTAAAGGAAGACGGTGGTGTCATGGTACGAGTCTGCAAAGACGATGAGACCACGCAAATATAATAACGTGATTGTGCCATGATATATGCGGGCCTCAGTCTTTAAGCAACATTCTGAAAATGCTGTGGCCCGTTCGCCCTTCGGAAATCATTTTCAGCCGCGACATTTAGTTTCAGCAAAACATTGGACCCTGTACAATTGCTACACACATCTCCTATATATATACATACATACAATATATATTCATAATATATAAGCTGAAGGGAAAGGGTCCGAGCCCTCTCGACGAATGGAAACCGGCGTCTGGATCGTGTGTACGTATTTATATAATTAGTGGAAAATTATGTAACAATTTAAAAGGATAATTAATTGTTGCAGCGACGGCGGCGGCGAGGGAAGGGCGCGTTGCGAACACGAGTTCAAACAATACATGTCATCACTATTAAGCATTGTTAAACGGGTGATTAACTACAGGGTCTAAACTTGACATGTGAGTTGTGACAAGACTGCAAGTGACGTGTTCATTATTTTGCCGGCAGTTTTCTTTATTCAACTGCGCTCGTAAAAATTGTGAACAAACCTATTTGCGAATAACAACAACAATGATACGACGTTTGTATGCAGTTCCATCATCCAATTGAACTAAAAAGTGCTTCTTTTTCACACCAAACACATGTAAGAAAACAATTTATTTATAATTTAATTACAATAATAAAATAAACTAAACGAATTATTCAGCTTCAATTTTAAAAACTTAATAAATTTCTATATGAAGTTTTTATTCTTTTTCTAAGAAATTATTTTGTTTCTTTCCTAAATTGAAAATTAATATGTAACAAATAAAATATTTTACTAAACGTAAATTCACTTTGTTAATATTTGTTGAACTGTATTATGTAAGATATAACTATGCATTTGAACATAATCGTTTCGTAATTGTGCTGTAATCATTATAGAATTTTTGATTGCAATTCCAATTGGTAATTTGTGTATTACTGTTTGCCAATTTAACATGGAATACAAGCTGTATTGTTCTGTCAACGGTTAACGTTATCATCCGGTTATTGTTGAGATCACAATAAGCGGTGCGATTCAGTGTACATATTATTCTTTAATGTCGCTTAGTGTAATTTTGCATTCCATAATTTATGCGTATTTCGATCATCGCGTTTTTGATTTATGCGATGCCATCGTTTTTAATTGTACTCTGATTTGAATTACGAGCATATAAATTCCTCATAGATTTTTCTATAAATCCTTAAACGCATACTAAGCATTTTCCGATCTATACGTGGACGTCTAATGCAGGACATTCGTAATCTGCAGTCAATACTAAGATATATTATATCTTAGTTGTCATTTGCATGATAACGGTCAATGACACTACGTTCAATACGTGGCACGTATACTTTCGTGTGCGTGCACCAGTAGATTATATAAGTTTTATTTTATTCCTTTTTGAACTCATTGATATTGCATTATTTCTATTACATTATTACTACTATTTCAGTTATTTCAACTATTATAAGCATAAAATTTTATTTTTTTTTGGTTTTGTGTGATTGTCAGGATGGAGGTGGAAAAAGTTGAGGATAACCGCATGGACTATCTGGGTATGTTCGTGCAGAAGACTTTGAAGCTGAAGCCGGAGAAATGGTCGAGGCTGATGACCACGGAGGACCACAAAGCGGTCGTCATGAAGTTTTTAGAGAGGCCGTATCCGCTTCTGCTGGTCATAGTTTTAACACCGACTGCACAGTTGGTTGCCACCAATGGATTTCCACTGGCACAGTTGAAAAACAAAGGTAAGAAAAGTAACCTCAATAACCAGAGCTACAACGTGCCTACGCTTCAGGGGTATACTTCATAAAGCGAGCTCTCCGACCAGTCGATAAAATAAATCCTTCGGAAACAATCATCCTCGGAGATTTATCCTGCAAAATCATCGACCAGCTGGCCTCCCTGGTGGACGAAGTACATACATGACAATCCACACACATATAGGGTCGCTCGAATTGATTAGTTCAATTACAGATCCTCGTCCCTTTGTTATCGAACTCTACAAATCACGATCACTGGCCGGAGGTTATCGCGAAAGACGTGCAGAAGCATGTCCATAGCTTGAAAAGTACCGTGTATCAGGTGAAGGGTCAGGTGAATGGGCAGACCGTACTACCGATGCCGGTGGGTGCTGAAAAGGTTCATCTCGCCGAGAAGGAAATTGTTGAAAGTAACGGAGAGATGTGCGATTTGTACCTGAAGAGCGCCATCGAAGGAGTCGTCATCAAGTGGTCCTCACAGATCAACGACGTCCTAGCCAACAACTCGTCAGAACTTACTGCAGGGACGCATCCTATACCTACTGCAGGTAACAAATCTTCAAATAATTGTAATAAATCAAATTAGAAAATAGAAATCATTTTTTTTCAAAACTTATAAAAAATTTATCAATTTTTATTAGAGAATTTTATAAAATTTATATGTTTAAATTCAGGGTAAAATGTATATTAACAAAGTTTGGTAAGGTGCTTAAGTTTCGCGTTTGTATCAAATAAAAATGAGGTATTTGAAGAATTGCTGCATTCTATGTGAACGGGAATTCGTGTTATGCGCTCAGGAGAAGCGACGCGGGGTTTGGTGGGTGCAGGAGAACAAGTCGTTTTCTTACAAACAAAATGCACTGTTGACGAGAGAAAGAAAAACTGACGCGAGCGATGAAAAGACTGGAAGAATTTATGTAATTTCAGAAATCCAATTTTGGAATTTGCGCCTGAGAAATTTGCAATACATTTACCAGCAGCTGCGAGACGGAAAGGTGAAGAGCATGGCAGTTATTTTGGAAAAAAGCAATAGCGCGTACTTCAGCTGCTTTCGTATCCTGTTTAAGAACGTCGTCCTGTCGCTGGCCGAGGCGAAGGATATTAATTTATATCTCAAGCCGCTGAAAAGACATATTGATTTACTACAGGAGACAGATTTCAGCGAGGCAATTCTTCTTTTCGGTCCACTCGTGCACGTGCTCTGTTTAATATGGTCCAACTCGAAGTACTACGATCAAGTGAAAATAATTGTATTGTTAAAACAGTTGTGCAATCTGCTCATTCAAGAGGTTCGTGCTGAAATGTAATGTGGAATTGGTTTCGTAACGATTGCTGTGTTGTCAGGCGAAAAAGTTCTTAGATCCGGCGACGCTCTTCCACAGCGACATCGATGAAGCCATGCAGAGAGTGGCTGTATCCATTAAAGTCCTGAAGAAGTTCCATTCAGTCTTCATCAGCTACAAGGATAATTTGAGTAGGTTTTTCGAAGGCAGAATCCCGCAACTGTGGACATTCCATCCGAACACAGTATTCGAACGTTTTCACGCCTTCTTGAAGCGATTGGCAACAATCCAATGGTTTTTCAATACAATACTCGAATTCACCAAACTGGAGAAAGTGGAAATCGGCGGCTTGAAGGGTCGCATTCTCAGCGCAAGGGTTACGTCGGTCTGCGGCGAATTCCAGGCCTGTTTAACTGTATTTTCAGGGAAATCGTACGACGTCTTAGATCCGGATGATCCCTCCTTCATGGCGGATTTCGAGAACTTCAAACAGAAAATTTTCGAGATGGATCTTAAGCTCGCCGCCATTTTCTGTCAGGCTTTTGACGACAGCTCAAACTTGGAGAGCATTTTCAAGGTATCACCGTTGATCCATATAAGACTATGGATGATGATCTTCGTTTTCTTATTGTTTTATTTTCGATGCAGCTGATAAATATTGTAGGCACGGTTTTGGATCGTCCGCTTATAAAGGAAGAGTTCACGAATAAATACGTGAAAATACTGGACATGCTTGAAGCTGAAATAACGACGGGCGAGGTGAGTTAAGAGCTCGCATTTTTTATTTCTTCTCTTTTATAATACAGTTAGTGGCGATAAAGTCAATAACCACTTACAGTTCGTTTTGAAAACAAACCGAATGAAGTCGGAACGTAGAAAGAAAAACACTAGGCTCGGTCATTTTTATTGTAGATATTATTTCAAGAGCAAATGAGCCATAGGAAGAAGTATGGGCAATTTGTCGTGGACAAGTACATGCCTCCGATAGCTGGAAGTTTACGATGGTCGCGCAATCTTCTCGAACGGATAACGGGTCCGATGCAAAGCTTCAGGACTTTACAGCACTCGTAAATAAACGGCACGTATGTTGCGACACATCAAAAAAACTCACGCCTCGGAACTTCTTCTCCTGTTGACAGGATAACGAGTAGCGCGCGAGCTGTAATCCTTACCGAAAGGTACGATGTTCTAGTGGAGAGCCTCCACGACATAGAGCTCGAATTATTCCAGCAGTGGTCCGAAAGTGTTCCCGCACTTATTGAAACCAATTTGCAGCGGTGTCTTCTCAAAAGAAACGTCAAGACTAGAGAACTCCTACTGAATTTCAATCCCGAGGTACAAATTCGCTTTTTCTCTATACTTTTCTACAGTAACTATTTTTATTTTTTTTTTATTTAAGTTATCCGCTATTCTGCGAGAAGTTCATTACCTAAAACTGATGGGCTATCAGGATGTACCGGCGGTCGCCCTGGAAATGGCCGAGCGGAACGAGACGTTCCGGAAGTACATATCCAACTTAAACTCGACCACTGATTGGTATAATAGAATTAGGCGGACCAGCAGAGACGTTGAATTCCAATTGATCGAGAACGAAATCGCCGAAATAGATCTTCTCATTGACCAAGGGAAAAACGAACTGAACTGGAACTCCAAAGGTAAACCATCTTATTCTCTTATTTCCTCTTCTCCTTGTCGTCGCTTTTTCATTCTAGCACATTAAGTATGAACATAATTTTAAACTCAACTTTCTCGTGCATTTTCAACAATTGCCTTTGCAGTTTTCGGTCATTCACGGAATTCATTTACAGAGAATTCAAAAGTTTTGCGTTCGAAGAGTCGTTGTACACTGAAATATTCGGTCTTTGTAATTTAATTAAGCGTTTCTTTTATTGAGTGTTAAACTTAAATTAACTCGGAGGCAACGAGTGCGGCCCGTTTGCCATAGCCTAGATACTAAAGCTCGCGGGCTTCGAATTCTGGGCAACTTATAATTAAATGAGATAGCTGTTAATACCGATCGGATAAAATCGCTAAGTGTCTGCTGTAGATTTATGGGAGTACATGGTGAAGCTGCATGGCTTAGTGAGCAATCTCCAAGGCCATCTGCGGAAGAGCCAGGAGAACTTATTGGAAATCAAGAGCGCCCTTGTGCCATTCGCCCGACAGCCATTGTTCGAGCGCAAGGACGGCAAGAAGGAGGCAGTCCTTTGCGTCGAGGAACGCGATGAATGTATAGCGAAGCGCTATGCTGAAATCACAGCAGCCACCGATAAAATCACCGAACTTCTGAATCAAAATATGGGCCTATTCCAGATGACCGAGATGCCAGACTCACCAGAGTGGCTTAATTACATCGATTTTGTTGATAAAATCGTGAAGAACTATCTGTATCAAACAGTTGGTTGCAGGTATTTATTTAAATCAATCAATAATTTCATATCTTCTTCAGTTAATTTCTATTTAATAAATAAATATTGGTAAAGCTTCTTTTTATTTATTTAAAATATGTTTTCCTTTCTCTTTTTAATTGAGAATAAATTATTATTTAAAATTAGATTTTGATGAAAATTTTCCTTAAACTAGTTTACATATCACTGCTCTTGAGGATAAGCCAACGATAATAACAATTAATTTCAGTCTGGGTTATATAAACGAGCACATGGATTCCATCAATAATCTGGCGCCGCTCTTCGAGTCCCAATTGCGGCTGCAGGAACCCCACATGGTGTTCATACCATCGCTGGAGCCAAACGAAAGCGATGGCTTCAAAAAGCAAATCATGACACTCATCGATGACATAATGAAAATATCATCGATCGTACCGCGGTTCTCAAAGCGCGAGGCTGTCTCCTACCAGTCGGAGATTGAGCAGAACGCGGACATAATCGAAATTAAAAATGATATCCTCTGCAGCGTGGATCGCGTGATACACGAAGCCTTTGAGTACTGCGATAGCTTCCAGTGTTACGCCTATTTGTGGCTGGACGACAGGTCGCAGTATTTGAGGATGTTCCTAACCTACGCCAGGCAATTAACTAATGATGAGGTGGAATGGGTGACTCTGAAAGACCCCTCGGCGCCGTCTCCAAACCCACCGAAAATGGAACAATTTAGGGAGCAGATAGACAATTTTGAAGCACTTTATACCGAGATTGAAGCAATGAAAACCGAGCGTATTTTCAATGCATGGTTCAAGGTGGACGCGCAACCTTTTAAGCAATCCTTATTGAATACAGTCCGAAAATGGGGTGACATGTTCAAAGATCACTTGGTTTCAACCGTTACCAATAGCTTGTGCGATTTAGGTAAATTTATCAGATCGGCCGATGAAGGTCTTCAACAAACTGTCAATGAAGGCGATTACAGAGCTTTAGTAAACGTGATGGGTTATCTTCTGCAAGTCAAGGAAAGACAGGCTGTAACCGACGAGATGTTCGCGCCTTTGCATGAAACCATCGAACTGCTGAAGTTTTATGATCAAGATATACCTGAAGAAGTTAACGTGTGGCTTCACGAGCTTCCCGAGCAGTGGAACAACAGCAAGAAGATAGCTATTACCGTGAAACAACAAGTGGCTCCATTGCAAGCAGCCGAAGTCACCTGCATCCGCAACAAAATAACCGAATTCGACAACAGAACGTCTCTTTACAGAGACTTTTTCAAACGCTTCGCCTTCTTCAAATACGACTGTTTGAATCCTTACCGCGTAATAGACAGCGTCAACAAGGATATGAAGAGACTGGAGCATGAGATGAGGAACATACAAGAGTCGGGTTCGTTATTCGAAGTGACCGTCCCGGAGTTCAAATTACTAAGGCAATGCAGGAAAGAATTGAGGATGCTTAAAGTAATAATAATGAAAGCTTTTTACAAGGAAATGTACGACTGATCGATGTTGCAGCAACTTTGGGATTACGTGTTCGTGGTTCACACCTGCGTGGACGACTGGAAAACGACGCCCTGGCGGAAAATCGACGTCGAGAACATGGATATCGAGTGCAAAAAGTTCGCCAAGGAGATAAGGATGCTGGATAAGGAGATGCGAACCTGGGACACCTATTCCGGCCTCGAAGCGACCGTTAAAAATACTTTAACTTCGCTGAAGGCCGTCGGCGAATTACAGAATCCGGCAATCCGCGAACGCCACTGGAAACAACTCATGAGATCGACGAAGGTAATGCCTCGTTCCGAGGGGAATCTGTATATACTTGTAAAATAACTATTCCACGTATCCTCCCTATTTATTCTTATATATACTCATTGTAAATAGCATTTATCTGTTGACACACTCTGTTACAGAATTTAGCTGCTCTGCCTCCCGAGTTTACAGTAAGTTTATACATCAAACACAGCACACAAACACACGCAAGCAAACAAGCAAACAAACAGAGAGACAAAGAAAGAAAGTTCAAACATCATCATTAGAATAGTTTTGTAATTCCACGGCGAATGAACGTAGACTGGGGGTAAGTCAGTAGCAGTAATGGAGCACGTGCTTAAATTTGATTATATCTCTCTAGCAAAGCTATCCGACCGGATAACATCAGGTTTGTGTTAATATTTCGTTAAACTGATGGTCTCGTGTATAATTGCAGACGAAAATCGTGATGGATCAAAGCACCACGCTGGCCGAGCTGCTGGAGCTGAACTTGCATGAGTGCGAAGAAGAGGTAAAGAATATCGTGGATAAGGCTGTGAAGGAGATGTCCATGGAGAAGATCCTACGTGAACTAAACGCCACGTGGTCCACTATGGAGTTCGAGCAAGAAGTACACTCAAGAACTGGATGCCATCTACTAAGAGCCAGCGAAAAGCTTATAGAAACTTTAGAAGACAACCAAGTCCAACTTCAAAACCTAATTACATCGAAATTCATAGCTCATTTCTTACAAGAGGTATCTGCTTGGCAGAATAAACTCAGCGTGGCAGACTCGGTGATTACAGTGTGGTTTGAAGTGCAACGCACATGGACGCACTTGGAATCGATATTCATGAGTTCCGAGGACATCCGCAAGCAACTCCCCGAGGACTCCAATCGTTTCGATGAGGTGGACAGCAACTTCAAAGTATTGATGGAAGAGATGGCTAAAGTGCCAAACGTCGTCGATTCTACGAACCGCGACGGCCTTCTGCGTAAACTAGAGGGACTACAAACTAAACTAACCCTTTGCGAGAAGGCTTTAGCTGTTTATCTTGAGACCAAACGACTGGCTTTCCCGCGATTCTACTTCGTTTCTTCCGCAGATTTACTGGACATCCTCTCCAATGGCAATCAACCTAAGTTGGTTGCTAAGCATTTAACAAAACTGTTTGACTCAATAGCTAGATTAAATTTTTTGGAGGTCGAGAATGGAGAGTTTAAATTGATATTAGGGATGTACGCTAAAGACGGAGAATACGTAACGTTCTACAAAGAATGCGAATGCACTGGACCGGTGTTTATCTTAAAAAAAAATATTATTTTTTTCGGATGATTATATGATTTTTTTTCTACGTAGGTGGAAGTTTGGCTGAATCGCGTGCAGGATGCGATGCGGTCCACGATCCTGACATCAATCGGAGACGGCGTCGTCTCTTACGAGGAGAAAGCCAGGGATCAATGGCTCTTCGATTTCCCGGCTCAGGTGTCGTTATGCGGCACGCAGATATGGTGGACGACCGAAGTGAATATAGCTTTCTCGCGACTCGAAGAAGGATATGATAACGCCATAAGGGACTACTACAAGAAGCAGGTGTCGCAATTAAGCACTTTGATATCGCTGCTGCTGGGCGACTTGAGTAAACAGGATAGGCAGAAAATAATGACCATATGTACGATCGATGTACACTCCAGAGACGTGGTCAGTAAATTGATACAGATGAAAGTGGAGAGTGCTAGCGCCTTCCAGTGGGTGTCCCAACTGAGGCATCGATGGGATGAGACTGGTCACCATTGCTACGCAAACATTTGCGACGCACAATTCAGATACAGTTACGAATATTTGGGGAACACGCCACGACTGGTCATCACTCCACTTACCGACCGATGTTACATCACTTTGACACAGGTTACACCTAATGCACACATACCCAACCGCAAACAATTAAAAAATTCTCTCTTGTTACACCTCAAACACATCTGTAATTGACTTTCCCCCAATCATGAATACACTATAATCTGATCTATTACATCAATTACAGTAATAATAAGTTCATAAAAGTTAATTTTTAACAAAAAAATAATTTATAGTAAATGAAAAATATTAATATGGTAATTTCATAAATAAAATTCTTTGCAAATGTCTCAGAATTGTCATTGAGAATTAAAAATAATTACGTTTCATTGCGAATGACGGGTTTCGCGAATGAATATGTGTATAGTTGTATAACGAATGCATCCGTTAATTTTCAGTCGCTACATTTGATTATGGGCGGCGGACCTGCGGGCCCGGCTGGAACAGGAAAAACTGAAACGACCAAGGACTTGGGACGCGCATTAGGGATAATGGTTTACGTATTCAATTGCTCGGAACAAATGGATTACAAAGTACAATTGCTGAACTTAGACCCCGCGGGGTGAACGCAAGGACCCACATATTTATTATCGCATATATTTGTTTCTCGGTTCTTTCGTGTATTTTTTTCCCCACTTCCGCTTCCGTTTCGCTCTGCTTCCTAGTCCTGCGGCAACATCTACAAAGGACTAGCGCAAACGGGAGCTTGGGGATGCTTCGACGAGTTCAACAGGATCTCAGTGGAGGTCCTCTCCGTAGTCGCCGTCCAAGTTAAATCCGTCCTTGATGCCATCAGGAATAAAAAGGCTCGCTTCGATTTTATGGGAGATGAAATTGCTCTTGTACCCACCGTAGGGATTTTCATCACTATGAATCCAGGATACGCAGGTCGCACGGAACTACCAGAAAATCTCAAGGCTCTATTCAGGTAACGTTTTTAAATTAATTTACAGTATTGATTTTTATTTTTAATATTTAACTTTGAAATATTTTTATTCAAAACTATAATTTAAAATAAATAAATAAAAAATAATGTTTTACATAAATAATCATATTATATAATATTTATCGAAATATATTAATATAAACATTTTTATTTGAAAAGAAAATATCCTTCTCGGTGTTCGTGTTTTGTAAATATCTTTTAATATCGTTTACGGAAACTTTAGATCCACTACTCCGGATAATAAGTTTTCCCCGGAAATAAAACACTATCTTAAGCACGAATCAAACGACCACGATAAAGTTTCTTCGTCTCTCTTTACCGGAAGGATAACGATTTATACGTAGTGTAATAACAGTATTTTTTAAGTTGACTATTGACCGAGATGTGCTTAATCTGTGTATATTGTTTAAAGTTAAAAAAGTTACTACTATAACAAATTTTCTATTGAAATGTCATTTGTAAAATATCACCCATTCATGTTGCTTAACTATTGTAAGCATTTTCGACTCAACAAGTGTTTTATCAATAATTTCCAGACCCTGTGCTATGGTCGTGCCGGATTTCGAGCTGATCTGCGAAATAATGTTGGTAGCAGAGGGTTTCCAGGAGGCGAAAATACTAGCCCGCAAATTCATCACCCTCTACACTTTGTGCAAGGAGCTATTATCGAAACAGGACCATTATGATTGGGGTTTACGGGCTATTAAATCGGTATTAGTTGTCGCCGGCTCTTTGAAGGCAAGCACAAGGCACAAGCCTCCGGTTTCGCACGTATTATCTTATTTTCGGGCGATATTTTCAGCGAGGGGACCCAGGCAGGCCCGAGGAGGAAGTTTTAATGAGGGCACTCAGAGACTTTAATATCCCCAAGATTGTAACTGACGATACTCCGGTATTTATGGGCCTTATTGGAGATCTCTTCCCAGCGTTGGAAGTACCGAGGAAACGCGACGCCGACTTCGAACGCACGGTTAAGCAGGCCGCCATAGATTTATTATTGCAGCCGGAAGATAACTTTATTCTAAAGGTACCATTGTCGGCCTCATCACCATTAAAGGCGCGGAAAGAAATGGGGAAAAGCGCTGAGCGTTGCGGGGGTGGAAAGGACTCTCTGCAAAAGTCTTTAAACTTGTTTCTTTTATTAGGTGGTGCAATTAGAGGAGCTGCTGGAAGTGAGGCATTCGGTGTTTATAGTGGGTAATGCGGGCACGGGCAAGACGCAAGTGTGGAAAACACTTTACAAGACGTATCAGAACATAAAGAAGAAGCCGGTCTACAACGATCTGAATCCCAAGGCCGTGACGAACGACGAGCTTTTCGGCATTATAAATCCGGCGACGAGGGAGTGGAAGGACGGACTCCTCTCGGTCCTGATGCGCGAACAGGCCAATCTGCAGGGCGACCATCCGAAGTGGATTGTCCTGGACGGAGACATAGATCCCATGTGGATCGAGTCGCTGAACACTGTCATGGATGACAATAAGGTCCTCACGTTGGCTAGCAACGAGCGCATCGCACTGACCACCACCATGAGGTTGTTATTCGAGATATCTAATTTACGTACAGCCACACCGGCTACCGTTTCCAGGGCTGGCATCCTCTACATAAACCCACAAGATCTAGGATGGAATCCGTAAGCATTCATACATAAAATCTCATTCAACACAAAATCTCAACATTGCTTTTCAACAACAATTTTAATAATATGTAGAATAGGAAAATATATATATAACATAACCATTTCAGATTTTTTTAAATTTTATAATTAAATCAGATCCTTGATTTTGTTAAATTCAAACTAAATTTCATTTGAGTATAAATATCGTAAAATGTATATTTTTTAAAGATGTGTAATATTTAATTGAAAGTTTAATTATGAAACTTCTGGTATTTATTTTTTATGTTATAAATAGTCAAGACATTGCTTGAATGAAAGTGATTTAGTTTAAATCTTTCTGTTCGCGGAGCAGCAAAAATAGCGAGCGAGGCGTCAGCCACAGGTGGTAATTTAAAACGAGACTAATGGAATTGTCGTTTCAGATACGTAACGAGCTGGATTGAAGGCAGGAAAATAATCTCGGAGAAGTCTAACCTAATAATGCTGTTCGACAAATACATCCCGATCTGTTTGGAGAACGTCAGGACGCGGTTCAAAAAAATCACGTCGATTGCGGAGACGGCCCACGTCGAGATGCTCTGCCATTTATTGGATTGTCTACTGACAAGCTCGAACACCCCGGCGGATTGTCCTAAGGAATGGCACGAACTATACTTTGTTTTCGGATGTGTCTGGGCTTTCGGATCAGCAATGTTTCAGGAACAAGTATAGATATCAAGGTTTATGTTTTGGTTCAAAGTAATTTATGTTTTTTTTTGTATATAGGCCACGGACTATCGAGTAGAATTTACCAAGTGGTGGGTAAACGAGTTCAAGACGGTGAAATTTCCCACCGGTGGTACCGTCTTCGACTACTATATAGAACCGGAAACGAAACAGTTCATGCCTTGGACAGATCTACTAGGAAGATTCGAGCTGGACCACGATATGCCTTTACAAGTGAGTTAAAACTTAATATACAGGCTTTAATTTTAGTTTATCTTTCATCATTTTCTTGTAATAAGCTGTCAAAGTTACAAAAAATTGAAAAAGAACTTTTAATTTATGTAATTATATGTAGGCAGTCCTGGTGCATACGGCAGAGTCCATACGTGTTCGATATTTCTTGGATTTATTGATGGAAAATCGCCATCCGGTAATGCTGGTTGGGAATGCGGGCTGCGGAAAAACCGTTCTGGTAAGCGAAAAATTAGCATCGTTATCGGAAAATTATGCGGTCACCAACGTACCGTTTAATTTCTACACGACATCGGAAATGCTCCAGAAAATTCTGGAAAAACCGCTTGAGAAGAAGGCGGGTAGAAACTTTGGTCCACCCGGCAACAAAACCCTTGTATACTTTTTGGATGATATGAACATGCCGGAAGTGGATACCTATGGTACTGTACAGCCACATACGTTAATCAGACAACATCTGGATTACAATCACTGGTACGACAGAAATAAACTCAGCCTGAAAGACATACACAATTGCCAGTATGTTTCCTGTATGAATCCGACCGCAGGCAGTTTCACCATCAATCCTCGCCTGCAGAGGCATTTCCACGTCTTCGCTATTAGTTTTCCGGGGATAGACGCTTTAACTACGATTTATCATGCAATCTTGAGCCAGCATCTCACCAACCCCGAACACAAATTCCCATCGACTGTGCACAAACTTTCCGATAATATTGTTTCTGCCTCTGTTGCGCTACACCACAAAGCCTCACAAATTTTCCTGCCTACGGCCATCAAATTCCACTACATATTCAATCTGCGTGACATCTCCAACGTCTTCCAGGTAATTATAATTCAATTATCGTTACTTTATAATTTCATATTTTAAACATCTATTATATAAATTACTTATTTTTTTAAAAACCAATAAAGTTCAATAAGATTGATATTATACCGATACTCTTCGAATTACAGGGTCTACTGTTTAGCTCTAACGAATGCCTCAACCAGCCGACGGATGTAATCCGGCTATGGCTGCACGAGAGTCAGCGAGTATACGGCGACAAACTGGTAGAGGAAAAAGATATTGATGGCTTCTCCAAGCTTCAATTAGACGTCTTCAAAAAGAACTTTGAGGTAGCAGTAGTGCCGCACTAGATAAAACCGTTATCCTTATAAATGACTCTTTCTCTTCCAAATTAAAGGAAATCGATGAGAGCGTTGTCTTCGAGAAGCCGAATATATATTGCCACTTTGCAGGTGGCATTGGCGAACCCAAATACATGCCAATCACTAAATGGGATAAACTCAACCGATTGCTCACCGAAGCCATGTACAGCTATAACGATTTAGTAGCTGCAATGAACCTGGTTCTATTCGAAGACGCTATGATGCATATATGCAGGTAATTATTATACTCAAACCTAAAATCCTATCTTACTTAATATTATTTAACATTTGTTATATCATTTATGTAAGAACTTTAACAGTTTATTCAAATTGTATTTAAAACATGTTAAAATATTTCTTTTTAAATCAATAAATATTGATTATAAATCATTTTTTTATGAAAAGTTGCAGAAATAAGAACTCATTGATTATTACATATTGAATATTGTAAAAGTAACAAGTACAAATTAGATATTTTTTAAAATTGCTATTTTTTTTATAGGATAAATCGAATCCTCGAGTCACCAAGAGGAAGTGCGCTTCTGGTTGGCGTCGGCGGAAGTGGAAAGCAATCCCTATCCCGATTGGCAGCTTTCATCTCCTCATTAGAAGTTGCACAGATACAATTAAAAAAAGGATACGGTGTCCTTGATCTGCGTCTCGAATTGTCTGCAATGTACATGAAAACAGGCTTGAAGAACGTCGGCATAATGTTCCTTATGACCGATGCTCAAGTACCCAACGAGCAGTTCCTTGTACTCATCAATGACATGCTTGCATCTGGTGAAGTACCAGACATGTTTCCGGATGACGAAATTGAGAACATCATTGCAGGAGTGAGGAACGAAGTTAAGGGTGCCGGATTGATAGATTCCCGCGAAAACTGTTGGAAATTCTTTATTGATCGAGTTAGACGTCAACTAAAGATTGTACTATGTTTTTCACCCGTCGGATGTACGCTCAGGGTGCGCTCCAGGAGATTCCCGGCCATTATAAATTGTACACAAATAAATTGGTTCCACGAATGGCCACAGGAAGCCCTGGTTTCCGTTTCGCTACGATTCCTGGAGGAGCTCGAGGTGTTGCCGGTAAAGTAACGCAAAATATATATAAAAAAAAACAACATCCTCCCCCGATCTACAATACATCACTTCCTCCTATTAGCAGTCACAGTTATAGTATTAGGGTGAAATGGATCGGGGGTGGTGGGATGGAAGCAATCATTAACTACTGACACACATTGTACGGTTCTATGTCGGCTCAGTACACGGTATTAATTGATTTTCCAGGAGGAGCTCAGAGATCCCGTTTCACGTTTCATGGCTTATGCTCACACATCGGTCAACTCCACGTCGAAACTCTATTTACAAAACGAAAGGCGTTTCAATTACACGACACCTAAATCATACCTGGAACAAATCAATTTGTACGCAAAGTTGCTCCGCCAAAAATCAGATGAGCTCCGCGGAAAGGTTCAGAGGTTGGAGAATGGTCTTGATAAATTAAGAAGCACAGCGAAACAAGTGGATGATCTAAAAGTAAAGTTAGCAGTCCAAGAAATTGAGTTGCAGGAAAAGAACGATGCTGCCGATGCTCTCATTGAAATCGTTGGAGTAGAAACGGAGAAGGTGCAGATCGAAAAGACACTAGCTGATGAGGAGGAGCAGAAGGTGGCCATCATCGCCGAGGAGGTTTTACAAAAACAAAAAGACTGCGAAGAGGATCTCCTAAAGGCTGAACCAGCTTTGATCGCCGCTCAAGAAGCGCTAAACACCCTGAACAAGGCTAATTTGACGGAATTAAAATCTTTCGGTTCGCCTCCGGGAGTCGTAACGAACGTAACGGCCGCTGTTATGGTGCTCTTGGCGCCCTCCGGAAAAATACCAAAAGATAGGAGCTGGAAAGCCGCGAAAGTAATTATACAACCTCAACCTCTGTTTTGATACACAAGCAAGATTCTCATTTCCCCCCCAAGAAAACACTCACCATGCAACCTTCTTTTTTAATTAGTTACATTTATTCGAACCAATTTTGCAAATATGCTTGAATATCTCCGCTAATTAGTAAGTCCAGTTTTTCTTTATTTTATATATCTAGAACCATATTAAGTTTCACAGTTCCGAATCTACAAAAATATCAACTACTGAATACACAGTTACATTAAATATTTATTAAAAAGTACACATTGATAAGTCTTTAATCCTAACATATGTAAATATTACTACTTTTGTCTTATTTAACTGCAGATTACGATGGCTAAGGTTGATGCTTTCCTGGATGCTCTGATCAACTACGATAAGGAGAACATCCATCCGGAAATCATAAAAGCCATAGAGCCGTATCTGAAGGACTCGGAATTTGAACCGGAGTTCGTGAGATCGAAGTCAGCAGCAGCTGCTGGACTCTGCGCCTGGGTTATAAATATAATTAAATTTTACGAAGTCTACTGCGACGTTGAGCCGAAGAGGAAAGCCTTGGCCCAGGCGAACGCCGAATTAGCAGCTGCTCGAGAAAAATTGAGCGTGATTAAGAGGAAAGTTGCCGTAAGTCTTGATAATCGTAGACTCCGTCGAGCACGAGTGTATTGTATTGTTATTATTACTATTATGACTATTTTGTTTCCTTGCCTTCGGTCGGAAGTCTCTCGAGGAGCAGTTGGCCAATTTAACGGCGGATTTCGAGAAAGCTACTACGGAGAAGTTGCTGTGCCAACAGGAAGCGGATGCGACGAACGCCACCATTCAATTAGCCAATAGATTGGTTGGCGGATTAGCGAGCGAGAACGTCCGTTGGGCTGAAGCTGTCAATAAGTATAAACTTCATACTAATGATCAACCCTATACATTTAACTTATGTGTAAATATTGTATTGGAAATAATAGTTTGAATGGTTTGCAGTTTTATAGAACAAGGAACTATGCTTCCAGGCGATGTTCTTCTCGTAACCGCATTCATTTCTTACGTGGGTTGCTTCACCAAGCAATACCGACAGGATCTGCTGCACAAAATGTGGCTGCCTTTCATGCGAGGCATCGATGTGAGAGGAAAGCCTTTACCTAAGTCATTCAGTATCGCTTAATGAATATTAATTTCCAGCCGCAAATACCCATAACCGATGGCTTGGATCCTTTAACACTAATGACGGATGATACGCAGATTGCTAAGTGGAATAACGAAGGTTTGCCGAGTGACAGGATGTCTACGGAAAACGCAACAATATTATCGAACTCGGATAGGTGGCCCTTAATGATTGATCCACAGGTATACATAACGTCTAATTCACTTCGAGATTTTCTATTTACGAAACCACACGTTTCAGTTACAAGGTGTGAAATGGATAAAGGAAAAATATGGCGACGCCCTCCAGGTAATCCGGTTAGGACAGAAAGGTTATCTCGACATCATCGAAAAATCCATAACATGCGGTGCCACTGTACTCGTGGAAAATATCGGTGAGACCGTGGATCCTGTACTGGATACTTTACTAGGAAGAAATCTTATTAAAAAGGGCAAGTAAGTACTCTTGCAACTCAAAATACTATAGACGCAGCTAAATTATATACTCAAATAATTTGTTTGCAAATACAAACATATTTATTAAAAAAAAATCTTAAAGAAATTTAGAAAAAAAATATTAATTAAGAATCTTAAACGAATACAAAATTATTAATTTGTAATTTAATTGCAATATGTAAATTTATAGTTTACTTGAGTTTATTTTATAGTAAGGTTTATTAGATTTATATGAATGAAAGCTTTTTGTGAATTCAAATGAATGGTAACAGGTGTTTAGGTTTGCTGCCAAAAAAAATCAATTCTCAATCAGAAATTGAGTGGTGTACTTTAAACAGAATACTTTGAGGAAATATAGTGTATTCTATTTATTTTTGTTTTGGGAAATGAAACTGTAAAGTAGAAAACTCTTCGAAAGAAACTTTAGAATTTCGCTATAGTTCTTTCTGCGACGAAATGAGCAAAAGGAGTAAAGAGTTTTACGGAAGGAGAAAAGCTCGGAAAACAAAAATAACGAAAATGTGTATATAAGTATTTCAATTGCAGGGCAATAAAAATTGGGGACAAAGAGATCGAGTACAATGCGAGTTTTCGGTTGATCCTTCACACGAAATTAGCAAATCCGCATTACAAGCCGGAGATGCAGGCGCAGGCGACGCTAATTAATTTCACCGTGACGAGGGATGGCCTAGAGGACCAACTCCTGGCCGAAGTCGTGAAAGCCGAGCGTCCGGATCTGGAGGAATTAAAAGTAAATATGCAAAACAATTTAATTACACTTGTTCATCCGGAGGATTCTCGCGTCACTTTCAGGCAGAGCTAACGAAGCAGCAGAATGATTTTAAAATCATGTTAAAAAGTTTGGAGGATGATTTGCTGTCGAGGTTGTCTTCGGCTGGGGGGAATCTCTTAGGAGACACCACCCTCGTGGAGAATCTGGAGACGACTAAACGGACTGCGGCTGAGATTGAGGTCAAGGTGTCCGAGGCGAAGATCACCTCCGTCCAGATAGACCAGGCTCGTGAACACTATAGACCAGCTGCCGCCAGGGCCAGCCTACTATACTTCATCCTAAACGAATTAAACACCATAAATCCCATTTATCAATTCTCTCTGAAGGTAATATTCGCTGACGATCGCGTCTAGACTAGTCTGGACAATAACGACCATTCATACAATATTTTAATCTGATAACCAGTATAAATATAAGACTCTACAATGTAGTGAATTATTATACACATACAATTTTATAATTAAATTTTTTACAACTATTACTTATAAATTAGATTGCTGCAATTTAAACAAAATAAATAAGTAAAAAATGTAACGTTAATATGCTAAGAATTTCAATTTATAACATTATAATAATTTGTTATAAAATTAACAATATAAAGTTTGTAATAATTGTTTGATTTCTTGGTTTAAGGACGTTTCTAATAGTTCTCTCCTGACCGTTAAGATTGATTTATTATATATAAGAATGTCTAATTCTTATTTTTCTTCTTTTTATCGTAGGCTTTCAGCGTAGTTTTCCAGAAGGCAATTGCTAGGGCTGATCCTGCTGAGTCGGTGGCGGCTAGGGTGAACAATTTGATCGATTGCATCTCGTTCTCGGTCTTCCAATATACCACTCGAGGCCTGTTCGAATGCGATAAATTAATTTTCGCCTCGCAGATGACTTTCCAGGTAGGCGCAAGCTCGTGGAAGTCGTTCATCTCTTGAATCCATCAATCCTATTTTCCAGATTTTGCTTATGAGTGAGGAAATTTCGGCGGCCGACCTCGATTTCCTGCTGAGATTTCCCCTAAAGCCGCACGTGACTAGTCCCGTCGACTTTCTCTCAAACACCAGCTGGGGTGGCATCTGCAGCCTATCCACTAAAGACGAGTTCCGTAACCTGGACCGAGACATCGAGAACTCTCCGAAGAGGTGGAAGAAGCTGGTCGAATGCGAATGTCCGGAGCGCGAGAAGTTCCCGCAGGAATGGAAGAACAAGACGGCCCTGCAGAGATTATGTATGATGCGAGCATTACGACCGGACAGGATGATATACGCTATGATGTAAGTGAATTTATATAGCGTTTACATAGCTTATATTAACTATTGTTAATTCTAAGCGCATTCATTGAGGAAAAATTAGGTGCTAAATATGTGGAGAATAAGACCATGGAGTTTTGTAAATCATTCGAGGAGACCAGTCCGTCGACGCCGATATTCTTCATTCTATCGCCAGGAGTTAATCCGTTGGGGGATGTGGAGCAGCTCGGTTTAAAATTAGGCTTCTCTTCGGAACGCCAGAATTTCCACAACGTGTCGCTGGGACAAGGACAGGAGGTCGTGGCGGAAACGGCAATGGATGTGGCAGCTAAGAATGGACACTGGGTAATTCTCCAGAACATACACTTAGTGAAGAAGTGGCTGCCGTCCTTGGAGAAGAAACTGGAGATTAATGCGGAGGGTTCCAACCCCGATTATCGGGTGTTCATGAGCGCCGAGCCCGCGGCCACCGCCTCCGCTCACATAATACCTCAGGTATATAAATGGGGAAGCAGCGAAAGGTCCATACCATAGCTCTCCTTAATTGCGATCCGATTCTGAATTGCAGGGCATTTTGGAGTCGTCCATAAAAATAACGAACGAGCCTCCGACCGGAATGCAGGCGAACCTGCACAAAGCCCTATCGAATTTCAATCAGGAAACATTAGAACAGTGCGGCAAAGAGGCGGAATTCAAGGTGATATTATTTGCCCTTTGCTATTTCCACGCAGTCGTTGCGGAGCGTCGCAAGTTTGGGCCGCAGGGCTGGAACAAAATCTACCCTTTTAACGTCGGCGACCTCAACATAAGCGTATTTGTTCTGTATAATTACTTGGAGAACAATTCGAAAGTACCATGGGAGGATCTTAGGTATTTATTCGGAGAGATCATGTACGGCGGCCACATCACCGACGACTGGGACCGGAGGCTGTGCATCTCCTATCTGGAAGAGCTGCTCCAGCCGGATTTGGTACAAGATACAGAATCCGAAGTAAACGAAAAACTATACAATAAATACGATTTTTAGGTCGACGGGGAACTGCAGCTGGCTCCGGGATTTGCGGCTCCGCCGAACACTGATTACGTCGGGTATCATACGTACATAGATGAGCAAATGCCTAGCGAGTCTCCTTATCTTTACGGTTTGCATCCGAATGCCGAAATAGGATTTTTAACAACGACCGCCGAGAATCTGTTCCGCACCGTTTTCGAGATGCAGCCACGAGACGCAGGCTCATCAGGTGGTGCTACCATAACCAGAGAAGATAAAGTCAAGCAGATCATTGACGAGATGCTCGAGAAGCTGCCGGAGGATTTCAATATGTTAGAGATCATGGGAAAAGTAGAGGAAAGGACTCCATACGTGATAGTCGCATTCCAGGAATGCGAGAGAATGAACTATCTCACGGGCGAGATCAAACGCTCCCTGAAGGAACTAGATTTAGGCCTCAAAGGCGAGCTCACTATCACCTCAGACATGGAGGACTTAGAGAACGCCCTGTTCCTTGACCAAGTACCACCTGTCTGGAGTAGTCGTGCTTATCCTTCGCTGCATGGACTGACCACCTGGTTCATAGATCTTCTCCTGCGTATAAGAGAATTGGAAACTTGGTCCACCGACTTTGTTGTAAGCAATCATTTTAACAATCATAATTTAAATAAAAAGTGTAATCTTACAAAATTAATACCGTTACAATTACATTCGATATTAATAGTCTAACTAAGATTTAGAATGACCACAATGAATCACGACAACTCTTCTCTAACTATTACATAAAGATTAATAGGTGAATAATTTTCTATCCGCCATCCACTTATTTCTTTGCAGTTACCGTCTTCCGTGTGGCTCGGGGGATTCTTTAATCCCCAATCTTTGCTAACTGCCATTATGCAAAGCACTGCGAGGAGAAACGAGCTACCTCTGGATAAAATGTGTCTACAGTGCGACGTTACCAAGAAACAGAAGGAGGACTTTACGTGAGTGGCCGACCAATTAATTTCTCGTTTCCAGGCAGCCACCGCTACTTACATAATTATCCCAAGGGAGATAAAACAAACAAAATGAATAGAATAGAATAAATCCGTCTTTGCATAAGTATTACACAAATTACATTTTCAGGAGTGCCCCAAGGGATGGCGCCTACATACACGGATTACACATGGAAGGAGCCAGGTGGGATGTGCAAGCTGGTATCATCATGGATTCCCGTCTTAAGGAGCTCTTTCCAGCTATGCCTGTGATTAATATACGAGCGATCACGCAGGATAAGCAAGACCTCAGAAACATGTACGAATGTCCTGTGTACAAGACACGAACCAGAGGTCCAACATACGTCTGGATCTTCAACCTGAAAACCAAAGACAAACCATCAAAGTGGACTCTCGCCGGAGTTGCACTTCTGCTACAAACATAATTCATCAGTAAATATATTTATTATTTCTATAAACGAAACACTTTCATTCCCATTTTTTCTAATAGCATATTTAATTATTAAATTAAGTTACAACAGTTGTTGCGGGTCAAATAAGAACAAATAAGATGAAAAATATTATTTTTTGCTTCTAGAAGTAATAATATATAATTTATAATAGAGATTAATTTTCATGTTTGATATGAATAAAAATATAGTAGTTACAAAACTTGATTGATTCTTAACTAATAATAATGTTGTATGGTATGTGGTTTCATATTAATATATAAGAAAAAAGAAATAAATTTAAGTATTTTTTTATTAACAAAAAAAATAAATATGTTTCAACAGGGAAAATATATTACATCAAAATAAATAGTTCATGCGTTGAAGATACTCTTATACTTTCTTCATCAGCATCATTTCTCAAAGAATTGCAGCATATCCTCATGCTTTCCTGAACTAGAGCTTTGATTTAAATTCTATTTAACTCTTCGGGGAGTTCCATTCTGAATTGCTTAAGGTTGTAGCCTACCTCATGGTTCCCTGGGTTACATCTTAGATTCAGAATATCTTGATTGAATATATAATCATGATAATGACTTTCCTCCTCCTCTACCTTTACAGGGTAATAGCCTACATCATGCCTATATGGAACACCACTTAGATTCATATTATCTTGATCGAAAAAATGATCATAGACATTATACTCTTGATTATCCTCTTCCTCTACTTTTACAGGATTGTAGCCTTCATCATGCCTCCAAGGAACACCACTTATATTCATATTGTCTTCATCGAAAAAATGATCATAGACATTATACTCTTGATTATCCTCTTCCTCTAGTTTTACATTGTTATAGCCTTCATCATGCTTCCATGGGACACCACTTATATTCATATTGTCTTGATCGAAAATATTATCATAGATATTATACTCTTGATTATCTTCTTCCTCTATTTTTACAGGGTTGTAGCCTTCATCATGCCTCCAATGGACACCACTTACATTCATATTATCTTGATCGACAATATGTTCAAAGAAGTTATGAGGCTGATATTCCTCTTCTTCTAATTTCACAGGGATCTCCATCTTCACTGGCATCTCAAATTTAACTTCACCAATATTGTGATTAAAACTCATATTTATAAATATCAATAAGCAATAAGTTGTTAACAACTGAAAAATTTGAAATTATTTTTCTAGTATGAAGTCAAAGTTTATTGATACAGAATAATATTCAAAAAATTCAGAGACATTGCTCCAAAACAGACGAACTTTTCGTTTTGATCAATGAATGAATATATAGTATATAATAGTATATAAATTACTTGTTTTAATAACTATGGTGTATATATGGTTGCTTATAATAAATGTATTATCCTAAAATTCATATATCATTATTTTAAATAATTGTACCTATTTATTGTTTAGCACAGATGGATACAATGAAATATTCTTAGAAGGTTTAAATTATATCTTATATAATAGTGTTATTTGTGACTAATATTGCCATCTACAAGAAAACATTCTAAACTCATATATTTGTATAAAACATTTGCTAAATATTCACTTGTCTTTCTTCACTTTTTAAATATTTTCTTTAAATTTTCGATAAAAAATATATTTCTTTATAGATACTATATTTTTTTTGAATTTATTTGTATAGTTTATGTTATAGTTTATATATTTGATTTCATCGAATTGTACTATTTTACTTTGCTTTAGTTCATTATTTATTGTGCCTGTGCATAAAAAAAGTTTTAATTTCAGAATGGAGGTATTAATTGTGGCCCCTTTTGTTCCAATTATTTTTAATATTGGAATACATATTTCAGTAAGTCATTAACAAAACTCGTTAACTGTATTATGTAACATATTTTTTCAGACATTTCTTATTGATAAAACGATAATACTATGGAGTTTATTGGTATACATGATGGATCATCCATTCGAATACTTTGTATTGGTAGTTTGTTTTTACACTCTGTTCGAAGTTCTTGGACATTTGCTGATTCGAAAAAGGAGACCGCACCTAGTCGTTGGGTGCTGTTGTATATACATTGCGGCATTGGAGATCTACGATACTTCATTAGGAGCTATAGATCTGTTCTCACAATACGTCATCATATTCACCTACATGTTTGGCTTTCCCAGATACTACAAGGATAAACCCATCAAACACATCCTTCGAACGGCACTTATATACTTATTATTCGCTAATTCCAATATTACTTTATACTGTAACAGAATTTTGCATTTCCATATCTTGTTCGTTGCTGCTTTGACCGGTGGTTGCTTCAGCGTTTTCCTGGAATACTACATCACTTATTGGTTTAAAGGGGAAGAAGAGGTTTTAAGGCAAAGAAGAAACTCCGCCGCAATGCGCGTACAGCAATAGCAAAATATATTACATGACATATTATAAAGAAAATGATGTTAAGAAACAATCATAATTTTTACAGCAATAAAATGATTTTATATTTTTTGACACTCCTTATTGATTCCCTATATATACGTATAGCAAAATCACAACCATATGAAAACTTTTACTATTTTTAAAATTAGTTTGAGAAACTTGGTATTTGTATGGTAAATAATAATAATAAGTACTTATTACAGTGCTTCTTAAGGTCTTCATTATCTTAAGGGGTTGTCGAGAAATTCACGAAAAACTTATTAAAGAAAATCCTTTTTCCATCAAAGCGATTTTTAAGTAAATCTTATTCACTTTTTTTTTTATTTCCCCAGCTCTTAGCAACAAGAACATGCCAATAGGCTCTTTGATAGAAAGATATTCAGCTCTCAAATGTCTATCATGTAATTATCTTGAGGGGTTGTCGAGAAATTCAAGAAAAACTGAAAAAAATCGCAAAAATCGTCTATACCCTGTTTACGCAACGAACATTACATAACTATTGTTTCATCAAAAGTTGCGTAAGGGTGGCGCCCATCTTACGCAAGTATGAAATGCAACAAAAGTTTATTGGTTTTCCAGTTAATAAGTAAATCCTATTCACTTTGTGTGGTAGATTAATGTAATTACAAATTGGATTGAGAATTAAATTAAAATGCTTGAATTTGATAACATAGTAGATGTACTGACCAACCCACAATGCCGGCAGTTAGCTCATTAGAAAGGTTGGATTCTTGTCTTTAATTTGCGAATTTAATTGTTTAATTATCACGAGTGGTAATCGATTAATTTAAAAAAATCGCAAAAATCGTCTATACCCTGTTACGCAACGAACATTACATAACTATTGTTTCATAAAAAGTTGCGTAAGGGTGGCGCCCATCTTACGCAAGTATAAAATGCAACAAAAGTTTATTGGTTTTCCAGTTAATAAGTAAAT